ACCCATTCCGCAACCTTTATGGCGTCCATTAGATGGATCCTACCATTCTTTCAGGCATCCATTACAGCATAAATACATACAAAATATAAGATTTTGCGTTCTACATATTTGCATTTGTATTCCTTCCAAATTCAACCTAAAAATCTGTTTGGTAAGAAGGTAAATTTGTCAATGCAAAGCTAACCCAACTTTACAATTTATACGAACCATTTTACACTTTACATATTTGCATCGTTTTCAAACGCAGCCTTAATTTATAAGAAAAAAGTCAATTTGATCCTTAGAAAGTTATGAGGGCACCACCATATAATTGGCAAGGTTGAAATTGCCATTATTATAAACATAATAGAAATGCCATGAACCTAGACGCAGCAACCAGAATTATCACCTAGCCTAGGCAGCCCTCAAATCGACAATTGACTGTCAAAGCTCATCCTGAAGAATAAGGAAAAGGGTTTGATTATGATATCGGAAAGATCATATCAGAAAAGCTTACGGCCAATTAACTGGTATCATCAAAATTCATCCGCTGGATGCTTCCCCCTCAAAAAATAAATAAATAAACAAATTACTTTTGATTTCTTCTTCTTCCTTTTTCTTTTTAAACAAGGGAGATTCATATAAGCAAAGAAAACAAGTCTCCTATAGTTAAACATTTCTTTAATTTGTTCAAATGTCAATTAAAGAGGCGATCTTCTTTCTACTGAAATCACTTTATTATTTATATATATCAAAAAGAGTTAAAAAAATATAACTTTCAAATGGACAAACAACCTAAAAGTAAAAGGGGATGTAGCTTTCAAATCAATTTTTCCATCAAAAGTGAGACCGGATCTGCTCCTCACAGAGGACGCCTCACGCCGACCTCACATCGCACGTCTTACCATGCATTGGAAACATTTTCCATACTCATAAATTATTATTTACGAGAGATGTTCCCCATACACGGTGGATGTACCTGTGAGGAACAGATCCCGTTCCGTCGAAAGCATGGAGAGGAGCTTTTATGATACCAGCGGTCACCTCTTTTGTTTATGATATCAGTTGATTTATCTGTAAGCTTTTTCCAATATCATTTCTTTCATGTATCATAGTCGACCCCTTTCTTTTTTTGTATTATGGGCCTTGATGAAATTTTATGGTGGTATCAAAATGATCAATGGGTCTGGATGAGGGATAACAAACACAGAATTACAGATATCTGGTGATGGGCGAGTCACAACATTGACCAGTTGGCCAATGTCCCAATATACATTAATTATCGCCCAAGCAGCTCTCAAGATTAGCCAATTCTAATGCGCCAATGCATGCTTAATACTCCTCCATGTTTTGGACTTGGGAGGTCAGCACTCAGCAGAGGCCAGAGGGGAAGGAGAATTGAAGTGGAGTCCCCTTACCACCCGCGTGGCAATTAAAGTTTGAGACATGATGCGATCAGTCTGCAGTCTGCACCCACTTTTGTATAGCAACCTCTCCCCCAGTCTGCACTGTGGAAACTTCAGTCCATTGAGAATTGGTCCAAAGTCCATACTCATAATAAATAGCTAGAGCATGCGCATGCGCATGTATCTGGGTAGTCCACTCAGTTAGTCAACTTAACAAAATGGTCTCTTAACCCAAGTTGATTCAGTTTGCATATCTAATCCTAAAGACCTAAACCCGTCATCATTTATATGTAGATGAGTTCCATACTTCCATTCAATGTCTGGAGGAAGCTTCGTTAAGATAGTTGAATTCATGGAGTTGATACAGATTTTGTAGAGCATCGTGTATACAGCTATGAAGAAATGTCCTTTTTATGGTGCAAAATAAGATAAATAGGCGCGATTTAGTCATAATTTCGTAACCCAGAAAGACTAAAAAAGTGGAGTTTAATATAGGAGAAAATCTTAAACAGAAAACTGCCGTTTGGGTTGATTCCTTTTCCTACAGCTGTAAAAATAAAAATCTTCATTACTTAATGGCCTTGTGGATATATTTTGTTTGACGATGCTTTAATTGCTGACGAGCTTTGCTGGGTTTTCTCTGTAAAGATCGGAAAACTGGGTACTGAATGACAATATATTATCGGAAGGAGAGGCTTTGAAGATATTTCATACAAGGATTTTCAATAGAAATAGTTTTCTTATTCTTCATTTTCTAACAAAATTTTGCGAGGTTTATTTAGGAATTGAGTGATGCCAACCGCTAGAGCTCTGGTTCGACCTGGGTTCTATCTGGTTTGACAGTCAAGGTGAAAATGATGCAGCAAAAAGGCCTTCTAGTGAACTTCTTCTGAAAAGGATTCCTGATGGAAACTCTCTGAATATATATATCGTAGAACTTGGTTTTGGAGTGTGAGAACCATGGAAAACTGAAATTTCAAGGTGTTGTACTTCACAAGTGGCTATTCAATGGCTTCAGACGAATTGGTTGAGCTCAAATTGAGGCTTTGCAATGGCACTGACATTGGGCCCAACAAGTATAATCCTTCTACCACTGTAGGATCTCTGAAGGAAATTATACTTGCTCAATGGCCTCAAGGTTCGAGATGTTTTCTTCCACTCACTTCATATTATAGGTCCTGATTTAAATTACAACCCTCCGTTTGTTTATTGGAGAGTTACAGGGTTTGGTTCAAGGTTTCAGAACTTTCCATAGCTGAAATTAGGCATCTCGTGTTCATATCTTGGAAAGAATCTTAAGATGGAGTTCTTGTAAGCTGTGATCTTCTGCCTATAAGACAGTAGATGGTTGTTTACTTGTATTGTATAAATTAATTACTTCTCTTGGTGTTTTGCAACAAAAACAGATGTTTTTGTTTTCAGTTCTCTCTTACTTTTGATGGTCGCAACCATGTTCTTTTTTTGTTTCTTTTCTTAAACCTGTGTATGGTTACTAACTCCGTCTACCACCAATGGTTTGTCATTGACATCTATAGATTAAACATAAATATCAAATTCATCATCTAGAAACCAGACCAGTTGATCAATTATTCTGAATTTCCTTTACTGTTATTTAGTCAATAAGATGGGCTATAACCATCTGAATCAAATACTTGGTAACCAAACTTTTCTTGAACAGATTCTTGGAAAGTTAAGTTGCCAATGGGGTTTGCCATTTTAATTCGGCCGGTTGGAACTCTTGTGTTGACAATGCTCTAACTACCATAAACATGCATCAACCCGTCTCAAAATGTTTGGTCGCTTACACTGCTGGGTGTCTGCATAATACTGCTGTTTTCCACGTTCTAGTGCTTGATATGCTATCTAACCACAAAATTAACCGAGCAAAGTTGGTAGGTTCATTTGTGGAATAGGATTCAGGTGTCTGATCCTGATATTCAAGACAAGGCTTAGATGGTGATTATGATTCTAGATTTTAATCTATGTTTAGAAGGAATTTTGTTTCAGACTGTTTGGAGATGAAATTACACTGGTGAAAGCCGCAAATGAGGGAAGTAATCTTCATTTGTTATTATGTCAATTACACTTATCTGTTACTCATGTATAAATGAAGATTCTTGAACTGGTCGTGTGGTTTGTGACACTCATCTATTGTGTTTAGTTTTCCATTTACTTGGTCATTTCATACTCTAACCAAACTCTCTCTGTTTCATAGACAAAGCAAATGGGCCAAAGACAATAAATGATGTGAAGCTCATCAATGCAGGAAGGATACTGGAAAATAGCAAGACCCTTGCTGAGTCTAGGGTACCATTCAGTGGACTTCACGGTGGGATCATCACTATGCATGTTGTTGTGCAGACTCCCTTAACCAAGAAGAAAAATGGTACTTCACAAAATGCAATATGTTTTGTGTTGGCTTAGTTGCATGCATAACATGTGAGGAGACAGATCCACCATAAGAGATCTCCTGGTTTATCATCTGTTGGTGATTATAATACTTAATAAATAATAACCATTCAATCTATTTCATCCTCTTGGATTGCTTTAGCTGATCCAAAAAAAAAAATATGGTAAATTTTGATAAGATGTTCCACAGTTTGCATCTGATAATTGTCAAATCTTGGTATTTTTATTTCAAAATCCCCTGGGTTGAACCCATTTGATCCCTTTGTACAACAAGACTTATGCTCTGCTGTACAGTGACAGTACACAATACAGACTTCTACCAATTCTTATATAATATAATTAGAGTTCTATCCCTTTATTCCAGTTATATTTAATTTGAATATGTTTCTTTGGTTTATATGTAGTATCCTTTTTCTAATATGACTAGGTTTTTTCATAGTTCAATCTACATCATTTTCCCATCTTTTTTCCCCATCATAAAGTACTGGAAGAAAACATCTGATTATCAATTTATACTCACTCAGTTTGGCTTCACATATCAGAGAGGCAAGAAGAATGAAATTGGGAGGTTTAGCCTTGTTTAACATCATTTCACTATTTTGATACATCCTTTTAAGAATATCATTGTACATGTCATGAAACAAATCCTGTAACTGATCTTTTAGCCCTTTTTTGTCATTTGAATAAATGAGCAAAATTTGTTTCCTCATTGAGTTCCTCAAAAAGCTAAAATACATCATTCCTTAGGATCAAATAGGCTGTAAACGTTAAAAATTTACATGTTTCTTCTTTTCACTGATACTCCAAACCATATCCTGATTATTAAAACAAGTTCACTTGGTCAGTTGTTTGACTGACCTCTATTTGTCATCTCGGGAGGCAGACAGACGGAAAATAATCATTCATAGCAAATCAAATATTAGACACATCATGTTTGTCATCATCATCATCATCTGAAACTTGTGACATTTGCTGTAGAGACAACCATTTTCCATCATTCTAGAGAATCACTTGCCACCCTTCAATACTAGCAGGCAGATAATATGTTGGCAAATACACACACAAATTTGTGGAGATCAAATGGGGAATGGAAAGCAGATAGTACCACTGAATAAATACTAGTTGTTTCATGTTGCAGCATTGCAATGCATTTTGACTGTTAAAATTATTTTGTTATATTGGATGATTTTGGGTCATCCAATCTCAGCAATTAAGAATCAACATATCCAATAGAAGGGCCATCTAATACGTATTGGAAACAATATCACATACTAGTGGCATGAAACAGGTTCAAAAGATAAAAATAACTAGATACTTGGATATGCGCTCAAAACTGAAAGCCAGATGCAAAGTCCAACCTAAACTCTCTGTAATACTAACACGGTTTTTTTCTTTGGTACAGAGAGTCTGCTGGTCGATTCCCCAAAGAACAGGTGTTCATGCTCAATACTGTGACTGTTATTACCACGGCAAACTCGTCTTAAGTTGGTTCTTTTATGCATCTGCAGACGTTTCCAGTGGCCTAACTGCTGAGTAATGAGTAGGTGAAGTGGCTCTTCTGAGCATGGGAGAGGGAGATCTCTTTAAAGTTTAAAACTGTGCACAGCCTTGGCTATGAGCTTGTGGTTGCTTAAATTGTGCATGGTGTTCATTCACGTTTGAGATGGAAGTGGAATTTGTTTTATAGATTTAGAATCTAGCTAGGTCAATCAAATGATATCCGCAGAGGAGAATGACAACAAGACGGAATCAAAAGAAAAACATTGTTGGGTGGGGAATCGTTGCAACTTCTGAATACCCTTTAAATGATAGATGAATAAATGATAATTCCTTATTATAACTTTTGTGAGCACATCTATGTTACATTCAGATTATCTTACATGGTAAAAGAGTTAGATTGTAAGTTTTACTTTGCAGCCAGGGGATTGATTGATAGTACATTGTTTTCGGGTTCAACTATGCTATTGGAAAAACTTATAACCAATCAATGATAATCAATCAGTAGTATTCATCAAAATTCATGGGGGGATTTTGATTGGTCAAAGCTGTTTTGCCGGCATCATAGATTTATCCCATTGTTCTACACCGAGTATTATAGGCCCATGTATATTGTATGATTTTTTTTCTATGAAAATCTCACATCTCATTTTATGGAGACGGATTCTCTGAGTGCAATAGCTATTTAGGGGGCGTTCATTTTTTGGGTTTGGAGATGGGGGAAAGTTGATCAAAGGGATTTTGGTTCCCATTGATCAAGAATCATATGTTCTTTTTTCAGCTTTATGTGGGGATCAAGGAAAGTTTACTTTCTTGGGTATCAGTTACCCAGGAAAGTGATACCCATCTCCTAGTTGGATAAATAACTTTCCCACATAGGGGGAAAGTTGCCAACACTTGACTGGGACAAAAATGACTCTTTTAATAATGGATTTCTATGGTTAAAATGGTCATTGCCTTATTTACGTGAGAAATAAAAGAGCATGGGTAGATGCACTTACCTAGGTAAGTGTTTCCCAAGAAAAACTTACCCAAGTAATTGCATTTACCCAGGTAAGTAACTTACCAAAAAGCGAACAGGGCCACAGTGGATTGTGGAACCAATGATAACACCCCACATCAGTGAGAAAATATATAGGGCCTACAATGAGAAATAAATTTTATGGTGAAAATTCAGCTAATCCGATTTCCATTTTACGCGGCTGTAATACACATTAATTCACAATAGATTCCCCATTCATACACAAAAATTGCGTATTGTCTGATTCTGAACTTTGGTATTCTCTGAATATGAAAATATTTCAGAGTAAGTTTTAAGAATCTTCATTCTCCTTAAGAAGATCAAGCTTTGAGTATTTCGTTTTCCTAAATTTGCTGTTTTTCTATGTATAATCCACCCTAAAACCTGTTACGTATTGTATGATAAGGTATGATACATCGATGCTTATTTAAGTTGGATGCATTATGTACATTAATCTGTAATTACAAGCATGTTGACATACTGGCATGTTGCCTTTTAAAATTGTCTTTCCTAACAGTACTGGTATAATAATAATAAAGGGTAAAACCCTGAGTTTTTTAAATGGACTTAAAAGATACTTTTTTTACATTGGTTGTAGAAGTGTTGGGGAGACTAATTTTCAAAGCAGATTCTAGCGATTTAATAAGAGATTGGAGAGTTGGAAGAGAAAACATACCACTCACACACATACAATTTGCAGATGACACTGTAAAGAGACTGGGCCGAATGGGCCCTAACAGCTACTTGTGTGATATCCTTTATTTTTATCATTTATTTTATGTTGATGGACCTCACTTAATGGGCCTGTTATTTGTTCTTTTTTTATTTTTTTTCATGTAATTGCCAAGCTGGCCGCCCACTTAAGGGCATACTTGTCATCATTACTTTTTTAGAGATTAATAAAATAGGGTTAGAGGAGAATGGTGAATTATTTGACTTCTTCTCTTACCTCTTCTCTTCGACATACACAACTCTTGCACTATTATTCAGATCTGATTTGCACTATTAATTACTAATTTTAAACCTAATATTAGAAGATTGATTCACATCTTGGTATCAGAGCGGATTCAGTTCCTCTTTCTTTCTTTTTCTTCGTTCTTGTACACTCTAAAATCAAGAGAGTGTATGGAGAGATAGGTTCTCTATAGTATAGAGAATCACTTGCCTAGTTGGTAGAAGGGTTTGGAGATTTAAGTTCTGGCCGAATTTTGCCAAGAAGTGATGTTGTTTTGCTGTTGCCCGAAACCCTAGCCAACTAGAGATTTTCGAGGTTACTAGGAAAGGTGAAGCTTGGGTGTGGCGCTTTGTGCTTGGAAGGTGTCTTGTGACTGCTAAAGGAGGGCGGTTCAGGTTAAGAAGAGTTTGGGTCAGTCTAGTTGGTGCGGCACCATCTTCTCTCTTCCTCCCATCTGTTGGACGGAGCAAAACCCTAGTTTTTCAAGCACCCTATTTCTGGTTTGACTTCAAGTAAGTTTGCATAGTTAAAATTTCAGTTCTTTGATTTTCGTTTGATTAATGGAGACATACGAAAGTGAGTTCAAGCAGGTGCCAGTTTCTAGACCTGCTCCAGTAGATTCCGTTTTGACTGGTGTTACCATGATTAAGCTAGATGGGACGAACTATCTTGCCTGGGCACAGTCTATAAAAATTTATGTTTGTAGTAGAGGAAAACTCGGGTATCTCATAGGCAGTAAGGTGAAACCCGAAGAGACAGATCCTGAATTTGAGAGATGGATGCAAGAGAACTATACCGTTATAGGATGGTTAGTTAACTCTATGCAACCTCATATAAGCCAGCACTATCTCCGGATGTCGTCTGCTAAGGAGATATGGGACAGTGTAACTGAGACTTATTCACAGAAACTGAATGTAGCCCGAGCGTACAAATTGAAAAGTGATGTGAARAACCTGAGACAGGGGGAGAATAGTGTAGCAATCTACTACTCTATACTAAAATCCCTATGGCAGGAAATTGATGTTATAGAAACTATGGTATGGGAGAGTAAAAAAGATGCTGAAATGTACAGAAAACTGGTAAAGAGAAATAGGGTGTTCGAGTTTCTCACTGGACTCAACCCTGAGTTTGATATTATCAGACAGAATATTTTGGCCAGAGATGAGGTTACTCTATCACAGGCATATGCCATGATAAGTAGTGAGGAAAGTAGACGACAAGTTCAGTTGCAAAGTCCACCTACATAACACTTTTCACATGCGGGAATGAAATCTAAGGAGCCTACTGAAAAGGGGGAGCAGGTGTGTGAATATTGCAAGAAACCACGGCATACCAAGGACACCTGCTGGAAACTTCACCCTGGACTACTCCCTGAGAGGTTTAAGAACAATCCTAAGAAGGGCAGTCAAGCGGGAAAACTCAAGACTGCTAATGCTGCTACAGTACCTGAAGGGGGAAATAAGGAGTGAGAAAACATCAACCATTGAGCAGTTGGCTACAATGAAATTAGACTTTGAGAAGTATGAGAGGCTCCTAAATCACCTGGAAGCTGTAGTTTCTTCAGCCCACCCTTCCAACAGTACATCCTCTTCATCGGCTTTTGCTCACTTAGGTACATATGCCTCAGCAAATCATGCTTCAGTTTCAGGTAATCATAAACTCCCTTGGATTATAGATTCCGGTGCATCAAACCATATGACCAGCCTATCTAACCTTTTTTGTTCATATCATCTCCTCTCTGGGAAAGAAAAATATCCCTTGCCGATGGGACACTTTCCCCCATCTTTGGTAAAGGAGATATAAAGACCTCTGACACCCTGTTCTTATCTTTTGTTCTCCATGTTCCTAAGCTTAACACAAACCTTTTATCTGTTAGTAGCTTAACAAAGTCCATGAACTGCAGCATAACATTCTTTCCCACTCATTGTGTTTTTCAGGACTTGCAGTCTCTGAGGACGATTGAGAGTGGCCATGAGGCGAACGGAATATACCTGCTGGACACACCAGATCAAGCCTTGGAACCACCTCATGGAGTTGCTTTAGAGTCAGTTGTATCAGAGTCTGTTAACAAAATTTTGTTATGTCATTTTCGGTTTGGTCATTTGTCTTTTTCCACTTTAAGTCATCTGTTCCCAGATATGTTTAAAGGAGTATCTTTATCTAGTCTTCATTGTGAGTCATGTAAGCTAGCAAAACATTGTAGACATTCCTATTCAATCAGTAATAAAAGATCTGTTTCTCCTTTCCATATTGTTCACTCTGATGTGTGGGGGGCCATATCGCATGCCAACCATGGGGGGCTACATGTATTTTATCATTTTTATTGATGATTATTCTCAATATACTTGGATTTATCTCATGAAATCCCGGGATGAAGTACCAATCATTGTGAAAATTTTTCATGAACTCATCCTCACCCAGTTTAATACCCATATCAAAATATTCCACTCTGACAATGATAAGGAGTATTTTGAGAAAACCCTCTCCACCTATCTTGAAACTTTTGGGGTTATTCATCAAAGTTMTTGTTCCTACACTCCACAACAAAACGGGGTGGCGAAAAGAAAGAACAGACATGTGGTTGAGGTTGTCAGATCCCTTTTATTTGCATCCCATGTTCCTGTAAGGTTTTGGGGAGATGTTGTTCATACTGCTACCTACCTAATCAAYCRTATGCCCTCCAGGGTCCTTGGCTTTAAAACCCCCTTTAGTCTTCTCTTCCCGGATGAGGATCTCTTTTCTCTCCCTCTCTGTGTATTTAGGAGTACTTGTTATGTGCATATTCATAGTCACCAAAGACATAAATTTGAACCTAAGACTCATAAGTGTGTGTTTCTGGGATATGCMTCTACACAAAAGGGTTATTGTTGTTTTGATCAGTTCGTGGCACTCGCTTTGTATCTCGGGATGTCACCTTTGCCGAGTTGACTCCTTTCTTTAGTATTCCTCCTGAAGGGGAGACATCTGATGAACCCTTTGCTATGTCTCTAGCTGTTCCTCTTCCCATCCCTTGTGAATCTGATCATGGGGTGTCCACCTCTTCCACTGGACCCATCCCTGATCCTCCTCTTGCTTCTGCTCCTACTCTCCAGAGGTGTTACCAAAGGCAGAGATTCAGACATATGCAGGTTGTTTCCACTCCTTCAGAAGAGCATCTTGCCACTCCCATAGTTCCTGAGGAAACAGGTTTGCCCTCTATCGACCCAGCTTCGACCGTCCCTGACCTTGACCTTCCTATTGCTCTTCGCAAGGGCAAACGGAAGTGTACAGCCCATTGCATCTCCAAACATTTATCTTACAACCTTCTCTCTCCTTCCTACTACTCCTTTCTTGCTTCTATTTCTTCACATGTGATACCCAGGTCTGTACCGGAAGCATTATCTCAACCTGAATG